GCGGACCAAAGGTCCAAAACAATTACGGAAACAGATAAAATTTAGTAACAAAGACACATAATGTGTCAAACACGCAACTCACACACACATTGGGGGGGGGTTTTGATTTGTTTCAAGTGATCTATTTCTATTGCATGAAAGTAAATGGACTTTGAATTTAAATGTGAATGGCAGAGATGAATTATCAAAATGTGAAATTAAAATGTAACAAACCCTAGGGTTTCGGAATCCACCCTAAACAATTCTACCTATGTTCATGGATACTCAAGTGATGAACTCTAAACTTGTTGATGAAGATGTTCGCAATCAAGACCATGGGTCGTGGCTCAAGACGCATTTATTCTCTCTAATATACGTAAAGTGCATGGTTCGTGCTACAATACTTGTGCCCTCTTCATAACCGAACCTAGGTATGGTTCGTACTTCGATTCAATTACAAGGAGAACCCATTAAGTTCAAAGAGAATATGAACATCACAAGAATCCTAATAGCATGGTGTTTACATTAGGTATTCAAGAAACCAATTCACATGGATGGTTCTTACTCCATCCATTTATTGCTTAGGAAAACATGAAGATACAGATAATCCCAACAACCTCAAGAAGCATGCTTTCAAAGGTAATCAATCAAGGAAAACACACATCAAGGATAGATTAATTTGGTGAATTGGAATTCATCAATTGTTGTCAAGAAACCAATTCACATGATGCTCACTTAAACAAGTTCAATCATTTGTTGCTAATTAGAAATTATGTTCTTGGTTATCTTACACAACTTCTCAACTTTAGCTACATGCATACAACCTAAGGTGATTAAGCAAAGGAAGCAAACACATATCATAAGATTCAATTAGTGAATGGGGTTCATCAACAACATCTAGAAATTCATACACTCAAAGCATCAAAACAATAAGGTATTCATGTTTAGGGCTTCAACCTAAGCCCTAGCTATGGAGTTTAGTTGCTCATACTTATTCCAAATACAAATTCGAAATATAACTAGAAAGAAGTTACAGATTTTGTGAACATGGGAGCTCAAGGTCTTCAATGGTGGAAATCTCTTCCACTTCTTGCTTTGTTGCCCTTGTCTTCCTCCTTGAGCTCCCTAGCTCCAAGCTTCATCTCCAGCTCCAAAATCTCTGCAAATTGTGGAAAAAATTCTGATTGCAATGGCTGATGCTCTTTGCACTCCTCTCTCCTCCTTTCCAGCTTTTCCAAAATATCTTTTAATATAAAACAATTACTTTTGTTAAAGCCTTAAGCCTTGTCTCCTTGCCATGATGGGCTCTTTTGTTATTGTCTTCACCAAGATGCTCTTTGTTTCAGATAATATCTCTCAACCAAAGTAATTTCTTGTTACCAAGTGTTATGGTAACAAGAAGAATCAAGATAACATTATGGAGGTAAAAGCTGGCCAATTTCGGATTTCCAGAGCTGTGGTAACATGCTGGATTGGTTGGATAGGCAATACTTGTCCAATGGAGCTCAAATTTGGATATGTTGTAGTCAACATCCATTGGAACAAGTTTCATGAAGATCTTCACCTCATCCGAGCACCAGAGCATGTTGATCCTAGGCCAAGAAGTTGACCTACGAAAATGAACAAAAACAGAATTTATAACCAATAATGCATTTTTAGCTCATTTTTATTCTAACCAAGGTAAAATCTAAGAAAACACAAAAAGGAAGTAAAAAGCTATAAAATGTCAAGAACTAACTCAAAATAATAGGTGAATAACATGAAAAATCATGTGTAAAAATGAACCGAACAGAAGGGTGTTGGTGCAGAGGCGCTGGATAATCAACTGTGTATCAGGGTCTTTATGACAGTCCTCCTTGATGGTATCCAAATATGTAAAAATTGGTTGAGAGATGCCCAAGAGAGGGAGGAGTTCATGGCTCCGTGACAGAGCATCTGCAGCAGAGTTTTGGGAGCCAGGTCGATAATGGAGCACAAAGTTGTAACCCATTAGTTTGAGCAACCAGCGTTGTTGGACCGGGGTAGTAATACGTTGATTGAAGAAGTGGCGAAGTGTCTGGTGGTCCGTGATGATACGGAATTGTTGGCCAAGAAGGTAGGGGCGCCATTTTTGAATTGCAGAAATGACAGCCATCATTTCTTTTTCGTAGACGGATAGTGCCAAATTCCTTCCTGACAGAGGTTTGGAAAGAAAAGCAATCGGGTGGTCATTCTGTGAAAGAACAGCGCCCAGTCCTCCTTGAGAGGCATCACATTCTACTGTAAACTGTTTGGAGAAATCGGGCAGTTGAAGTACTGGTGTAGACAACAATGCAGTTTTAAGGGCAGCAAAGGTAGTATCGGCTTCATGCTTCCAAAAAAAATTGTCCTTTTTGAGTAGCTGTGTGAGTGGGCGAGCAATGAACCCAAAGTTCCTCACAAATTTGCAGTAGTAGCCTGCGAGTCCGAGAAAGCCGCGTAGAGATTTTGGGGAAGACGGCTTTGACCATGTTTGAATGCAATCTATTTTTGTTTGATCCACTGCAACGCCTTGGCAGGAAATGATGTGGCCCAGGTACTCGATCTGTGTTTGGGCAAAAACACAGTTGGATTTTTTCACAAAGAGGTGATTAGTTATGAGAATCTCAAAAACAGATTGTAAGTGAGTGATATGATCGTGGAGTGAGTCGCTATAGATTAATATGTCGTCGAAGAAGACGAGAACAAAACGGCGTAAGTGAGGGCGAAATAAATCATTCATCAAGGATTGAAAGGTGGATGGGGCATTTGACAAACCGAATGGCATTACGAGGAACTCGTAATGCCCATCATGTGTGCGGAAGGCGGTTTTGTGAATGTCATCAGTGTGCATCCGAATTTGATGGTATCCGAAGCGAAGGTCAAGCTTGGAGAAGACCGAGGCACCATGGAGTTCATCAAGGAGCTCATCTATAACAGGTATGGGAAATCTGTCTTTGATGGTGACAACATTTAAGGCACGGTAATCGATGCATAGACGCCAAGAGCCGTCCTTCTTCTTGACCAAAAGAACTGGTGATGAGTAAGGGTGGGCACGATACGGTATTGGGCTTATACCGCTACCGATACCGGAAATTAAAACTGTACGGTATGAGATTATCGTTTGCCAAAATTGGTACCATACCATACCGTGCCAAATCGGTATCGGTACCATTTCGGTACCAAAATGACACAACTAAAAAATGAACTAATTTAATAGTTAAAATGGTTAAAACTCATGCCTTATGGCTTACAAACCAAAATAGTTAAAATTATGTCTTATGGCTTACAAAATTACAAACACAATCCATACATAAATGACAAAAACAGAAAGATTAAATTACAACATTTTCTCTTGTCTCAAAAGGACAGAACTACACAGATTCACTTGTCAAATCTTACAGTCTAACTAATGATAGAATAAACGCAATCAACCACCATATTGGTAGTTTGATCCCTTTTCCCATTTATAGCTGGGTCAAACATATCAATCAAGATTCACTAAACATCTATTGTGGTTTGTTCAAGACTCATAATTTGTTAAACCCAATTCCAGAACATCTATTCCTACAAAAATAAAACACAAAAGAAACAACTGGCCTTGAGCAGAAAAAAAGTTTCAGCATTTCAATCTAGAGAAACACACCAAATCATAAATCACAACTACAGCAGCCTAATCATAACATATTTGAAACCAAATTGATCAAAGCAATATCCAATAGATCTAGATGTGTTAGGATCAACTCTACACCTCAAAAATTCATCCAAAAGAAATGAAAATTGTCATTCGGTACGGTACGGTATTGATTGGTACCAAATACTTGATACCTCTACCATACCATACTTTATTGGTACGGTACAGTATGGTACCGATTATCTCCTCATCCCAAATGAAACAGTATGGTACGGTATGGTTAGTGTACGGTTTCGGTATTTCGGTTTAGATGCCCACCCCTAGTGAGGAGTAAGGGCTTGCACTCGGCCGAATGATGCCCACTGCCAACATTTCGTGGATGAGGCTTTCAATCTCTGATTTTTGGAGATATGGGTATCGATACGGCCGAACGTTGATAGGGGCAGCACCAGGAAGTAAGGGAATGCAGTGGTCAATAAGGCGAGGTGGCGGTAGTGTGACAGAGGTGTTGAACCAGTCGGAGAAGGTATCCAAAAGGTGGTGAAGAGCAGGAGGTGTGGCAGTGGTTGTGGTGTCATCATGGTCTGGTATGCATGGGATAAGCTGTGCCAAGAAGCCCTCTTGTTCAGCCAAGAGAGTGTGAGCCATGAGTTTGGCATCAATTGCAGTAATGGGAGAGCGTTGGATACCCGTCAAGCAATAGGAGTGTTCGCCAAGGTGGAATCTCATAATCTTATTCTTGAAATCCCATTCAATAAGACCCAATGTCTCGAGCCATTCGACACCCAAGAGGAGATCACAACCAGCGACGGGTAAGAGTTTGAAATTAGAAGTAAGAGAGTAATCTTGAATCTGGACAGAGAGGTTTTGAGTGGTGCCTTGCGTGAGTAAATGTTCCCATGTGGCTGTGTACAGGGTGTGGGGGCCAGAGTGATCAATTGGTAAGCCCAAGCGTGTAGCAATGCATGGGTTGAGGAAATTGAATGTGGCTCCGGAATCTATGAAATGTGGATGGGAAAAATATTGATGGTGCCCTGTAAACGCATTGTGCAGGGATAATCGGGACCTTGGATTGAATGGATTGTGAAGTCGGTGGAAAGATCCACAGGCACCTGTTCTGGAGGAGCCAACTCCTGGTGACAGTCATGAAATACCGAGGAGTCATCATCCGAAATGGTGGCCTCAATGAGGGCGAGCATGGGCTTGAGACAACGATGACCAGGTTTGTATTTTTCATCACATGTAAAATAGAGGCCCTTGGAGCGATGCTCCTGTGCTTCGGCTTGGAAGAGGCGGCGGGAAAAAGGGGGTAGGGGTTGGGGTGAAGGGAGAGGTGGCAGAGGTGAAGGAGAGTTGTGGGAGTGTGGTTGGGGGGTGGGAGAGGTACGGGGGTAAAAGGGTCGGGCAGAGGTACGTCGGGCTTGCAATTTGGTATTGAAAAGCTGAGATAAATGTTTAGCTTCAGAAAGGGTGTTGGGCTGAAGAGCTTGGACATCAAAGCGGAGCTCCTCTCGGAGGCCGCCGACAAAAACCCCTTTTAGCTGAGTATTAGACCATTCTGGTGCTCTGCAAGCAAGCTTGGTAAAGAGGGTGAGATAGTTTGCTAAAGATCCTATTTGCTGGATATGAGAGAGTGAGGCCTCAAAATTGCAGATGTCGGTCGAGCCAAAGTGCTGAAGCAAGGATGTGGTAAAAAGGGTCCAATCTTTTGGAAAGCACTGTTCAAACCAACGCATCCATAAAGACGCGTCCCTGGAGAGGTGAACAGCAGCAACCGTAACTTTATCTTCGTCAGGCACCCCGTAGTACGTGAGAAAGCGCTCAGCAGAAGCTATCCATCCGTATGGGTCATCGCCGGAAAAGCGTTCAAGATCAAGTTTAAGTAGCCTCGGGGAAGCCTGGGAAAAGTATGGGTTGGGCAGAAGGGAAGTGTGGGTGGGAAAAGCAGAGTGGGGTGCGACGGTAAATGGAGTAGGAGACGGAAAAACAGGTTGTGAAGGGGAAGGGGACAATGGGGAGAGGGAGGGAGATAGAGAGAGTCGTTGGGGGAGAGAGGGTGTGTATGGGCGGGTGAAAAGTGGAAAGGAGGAAGAAATGGTGTAGGAAGGGCCAGGATCTGTAAAAGTGGAAACGGTGGATATGGGCAGGGGGAACTAAAGGTGGATAGCTGGCGGTGTGTGTTGACAGATGAGGATAGGTGTGGGTAAGGGCGGTGGTGGCGGAGCTCGTCGAAAAAGGTTTGTTTTAGCTGAGCAAACTGGTTTTTGATAGGGGACTGAAGGTTGGTTTGGGCAGTGGTGAGGGTGTCGACTGATTGGTGAAGAGTGGAAATGCAGGTTTGGTGAGCTTCTTGGGTAGAGAGGAGGGAGGTGACGGTGTCTTGGGTATCCTGGAGTTGGGTTTCCAGGTGGTCATGGTGAACATCCATGGAGATGGTGGCCGGGCTCGGCTCGTGGGAGGTAGCTGTCCCAGAACCCATTGTGGGCTCTAATAACAGAATGATGGAGCACACTGGGTGTGATCCTTAAAATAAAAAGACAGAAGTTGGAAAAAGGCGTAAATGAGTGAATTGTATATTCTTCTGGTGGGTTGGGCTGTAGCTAGGGTAGAGACTGGTCTCATCAGTTAGTTGGAGGGTCAACCGGAAATAGTTGAAGAAAGAGAGGAATTGGAGTTTACCTGTGAGGCTGTGAGAGTGGAATTTGGGATTTGGGGGAAATGTAAATGCTGGAATTTAGGGAGGATAGAGGAAGTGTTTAGAGAGAGAGAGAGAGAGAGAGAGAGAGAGAGAGAGAGATGGCGACTTGATCTGGGTTGGAGAGAGTCAGATCTAATGGAGGTGGGGCGGAGCTGTGGGGAGTGTGGGTTGGAGGTCAAGCTGGAAGGCAGGGGAAATGGGAGAAGATGAGTTTAAAAAAAAAATTATATTTTAATAAATAGATTTTTTTATTGTCTTTTCATTTATTTTATTAATTTTGTTTCTTAAGTGGAGTCCACGTCAGTTAAAAAATGGGTCCCACAAATGCTATGTAGGTAGATAACGGATTTTTTTACGATCTCGCTAACGGAGGGGGCAAATTATAAGTTTTCTGCGACATTGTGTATGTACTTATAATTGTCCCCAAAATCGAGTATGGAATCATAAATGACCCTATAGGTTGGGGGGCTTTCTGTAGTTTGTTTCTTTTTACATCTCCAATTTACATCTTTTGCAATGGAGATGCTCTAACAGTTTCACCAAGACCAAGGTCTAAAATATCGGTGATATCGGAAATATCGGTAAGCCAAAAACACGGAAATTTCAATGGAAATATCGGGATATTATCGATATCGATAAAAATTGAATAGAAACCACGGAAATTGTAAGAAAAACTTGAAAATTTTTATTGAAACTTTGCAGGATGTTTATTTAGTCAATTATCTATTAGTTTATCATAAAAAAATTGGAAGGAAATGCATTGCATGATGAATTTAACTGATTTAAGTTGATTATATAGCGAGCTGGCAAACACTGTGAGTGTAGAAAATATGTAGTAATTAATGAAAAAAGATTAAACACACCATAATCATATATATATAATGAATTAGTACAATATTTTACACTTTATACAATGCATGGTAAGATACATGGTCAAAAGAATTCAAAACAATTTGTTTCTTGCAAAAAAAATTCAAAACAAAACCATTTATATATATAAATATTTTAGCATATTTTCACAAAAATATAAGTGATATAGTTGTTAAGGTGTTGAAGGAGTAAAATGGGAGGGGTTCGAATCCCTTTGGTGTCTTTTTAATATAGAAATTTATCCTATATAATAAATATTAGCTTACAGACATTTCAAAAACGTTATAAATATTACACGCCAAAAATATAATCACAAACACGTACGCAGCTGAGTTGGATAAGGCGCTGGGCTGTTTGTTACAGAGGCAAGGGTTCGAATCACTCCATGCTCAACAAGATAATTTTCAGCATTTTCCAAGTATTTTTGGGTCAAAGTATCGCGAGAATATATCTCTAAATTATCACCATTTCAGCTTGGAAATTTCAGTCCATGACCAAGACTAATGCAAACAACGCTATCAATCCAGTGGCAGAATGGCGACTATAAATATAGACCAAACGAAACGTACGTACCAAGTGGCAGAAATTTCAACACAAAAAGATCAAACATTGTCAATCGTTCAAATGCGGACAGTGACAGACCATCAACTAACCCATAAAAAATAAGTGAAACACCACCCCGTTCATCGCACATGCAAATTCGCAAATGCCCAGAAAAAAAAATGTTTTTAAACACTTTGCTTGTCTTCTTCTTCCTCTTCCCATTTTGCACATCCATTGACACCATAGCAGCGAACCAGCATTTGAAAGATGGTGACTTTATAGTTTCCAAAGAAAACAACTTTGAATTAGGCTTCTTCAGCCCCGGCAACTCGAGCTCTCGCTACGTTGGGATTTGGTATGTTAATAAGTCTGAAAAGGCAGTGGTTTGGGTTGCAAACAGAAACAAACCCATCAATGATACCTCTGGTGTTCTCACAATCAACAGGTACGGAAAATTGGTTCTTTATGCTCACAATATTGACAACGTTTCTATTTGGTCAACAAATGCGTTGGTCGAAACCACAAGCACTTGCGTAGCTCAGCTTTTAGATACAGGAAATTTAGTGCTTTTACCGGATAGTATTAGTAAAAGTGAAAGCTTTATATGGCAGAGTTTTGATTATCCTACAGATACTCTACTTCCAGGAATGAAAGTTGGGTTGAATTGGAAAACTGGGATGGAATGGGTTTTAACATCTTGGACGTCCCAAAATGACCCTGGAACTGGGAACTATAGCTTGAGGCTCTATTCAAACCAGACTGCTACGGCCCAATATTTTCTGTACAAGGGTTTGACCAAATATTGGAGAAGTGATCCAGGGCCATGGCCCAATTTTGTGAGTAATAATGAAGAAAGGTATTATTTCCTTTTAACTGATAACACCTCTGTAATTAGATCGGTGTTGACGGATTATGGGATACTACAACAACTGAGATGGAATGATGCTGTTAATCAATGGGAGGAACATTGGGCTGCACCAAAATACCGGTGTGACCGATATGGACAGTGTGGGGCCAACAGCAAATGTAGCCCTGACAATTTTGATGTGTTTGAATGTGAGTGCCTACCGGGGTATGAACCAAAATCTTTGAATGATTGGAACCGGAGAGATGGGTCAGACGGGTGTGTGAGCAAGCGAATTGGGGTGTCAAACTGTGGGGATGAGGATGGGTTTGTGAAGGTGGCGCGGGTGAAAGATCCGGACACATTGAAAGCAGCACAATTGTTGCCAAATACTGGTGCCAATGAGTGTAAGCAGGCGTGCTTAAGCAATTGTTCCTGCACGGCGTATATTAGCATAGGATGGGAAGGCCGCATTGATTGCATGGCATGGTACGGTGAGTTGTGGGACATTTTAGTACACACGGAGCTAGGGCGAGATCTATATGTTCGTGTGGACAAAATGGAATTAGGTACTACTTCGCTTGCCAAGGAAAATTCAATTGTAAATTTCAGAATCTGTGTGAAACTCACTGGACTAGTTTTGGTGTCCACATGGGTTCTCTTTTTCATGGTTTCTAATCCTTTGTCTCACTCTTTTGTGTAGCTGAGAATACCAGAAAATCAAAAGGTTTTCTCAAAAGTAGGGGCTTGCTGGCTATTCCAATGGCGGCTGTTGCATTGGTACTAATCATTGGGTTTGCCTGCTGGTGGCTTAAGAAAAAGAGGAAGATGAAAGGTATGAGAAGTACTCATCTGCTTTGAATTGTTTAACTGTTTCATCTAAATAAAAAGCAGTGTGCTCATAAAAGTATGGAATTGGTCATAACACTTTTGCATTCTGACTGAACCACTCCGCTTCAATAGGATCCATATGCGCTGTGTTAAATTTCCATTTTCTAGTGTGCAAACAGAACACTAGGGAGAAAATGAATGCTAATATGCTTTTTGTGATAGCAAAGATTTGGTGGAGGCGGATGAACTTGAGGACACTAGGACACACCCAGAGATGCAATTTTTCCATCTGAGCGCAATAATAGTAGCCACAGGCAACTTCTCTCCTGTCAATAAACTTGGCCAAGGTGGTTTTGGCACTGTTTATAAGGTAAGTTCTAATATCAAAGTCCTAACATTTCATAATTGAATGATTTCTTCTGAGAAGTAGAAAATAGTCTTCTTCTCAAAGCTCTATAATAGTGCTGAACCATAACTTCAGGGTCAGTTAGCAAATGATCAGAAGATTGCTGTAAAAAGATTGTCCAAAACTTCAGGACAAGGAATTGAAGAATTCAAAAATGAAGTTACACTGATAGCCAGACTTCAACACAGGAATCTAGTGAAACTTCTAGGCTGTTGTATGAAGGGTGAAGAAAGGATGCTAGTCCTGGAATACTTGCCGAACAAAAGCTTGGACTCCTTTCTTTTTGGTATGTCTAAAGGAAATATTCATTTGTACATCCCATTTCTAAAATTTGGAAGAAATTTTTTTAAGCTTCTTACTAAAGTATATAACATTCAAATATCTCAATGTAGATCACACAAGACGTTCCTTGTTGGATTGGAAAAAGCGCTTTGAAATTATCAACGGTGTTGCTCGTGGGATTCTGTATCTTCACCAGGATTCAAGACTTAGGATTATTCATAGGGATCTAAAAACCAGCAATGTTCTTCTAGATGCTGAGATGAACCCAAAAATATCAGATTTTGGCACGGCAAGAATATTCCATGGGGACCAATTGCAGGATAAAACCAACAGAATTGTTGGAACATAGTAAGAACTATACTTGCAATCACACATTCATGGATTAAATCACCATAATCTCACCTTTCATACTCATCTTATTATTCTTTGGTTGTAATGCAGTGGATATATGTCACCTGAGTATGCAGTGTTTGGAAGATATTCAACCAAATCAGATGTCTTCAGTTTTGGGATCATATTATTGGAGATTGTGGGTGGCAAGAAAAACAATGGCCCTTATCAAGAGGACCATTCCATGAACTTGATAGGACATGTGAGCAACACAAACTTTGCCAACAATTTCCCCTTTCTTCTTACTTCATACTCATCCCTTCTGAAAATGTTACTGTCAACAACTACAGGTTTGGCAACTGTGGAGAGAAGATAGAGCCTTAGAAATTGTGGATTCATCACTAGAGTCATATCATTCTGATGAAGTCATGAGATGCATTCAAGTCGGGCTCTTGTGCGTGCAAGAAGACTTAGAGGACCGACCAACCATGTCAGCCGTTGTATTTATGTTGAGTGGTGAAGCATCTCTACCATCTCCTCAGCAGCCTGCATTTGTCTTCAGAAAAAGTTCCCGCCTGCATTTATATTCTGTTAACGACTTGACAATAACCAAAGTTGAAGGTCGATAATGATTCGTGCTCTTGCTTCCACAATATCAAAATGTTATTTGTTTCATTGACCGTCATATGGTACCGGTATTGCATAATGTGAACTTTTTGAAAGAGAGTGATGAATTTGAAGATGCAACATAAACCACAAATTGAAATGTATAAATTGATTTCTACAATCTTCAAAATATCCCCATTTGCTGGGCCCCACATGCTGAAAAGGAGGACGGAGAATGCAAAAGTGGTGGGCTCCAAACATATAAAAGGTGAGATAGTTACCAAAATACCAGAAATATCATTTTGCTTCAACTTGATATAAAATTATTTTCTTGTATGTTCTTTTTAGGACAAACTACAAAAAACCCCCTAACCTATAGGGTCATTTACGATTCCATACCTGATTTTGGGGACATTTACAAGTACATACACAACGTCGCGGAAAACCTACAATTTGCCCCCTCCATTAGCGAGATCGTCAGAAAATCCGTTATCTATTTACGTGGCATTTGTAGGACCCATTTTTAACTAACGTGGACTCCACATAAGAAACAAAATTAATAAAAAATCTATTTATTAAAATAAATTTTTTTTTTTTAAACTCATCTTCTCCCATTTCCCCTGCCTTCCAGCCTGACCTCCAACCCACCCTCCCCACAGCTCCGCCCCACCTCCATTAGATCTGACTCTCTCCAACCCAGATCAAGTCGCCATCTCTCTCTCTCTCTCTCTCTCTCTCTCTCTCTCTGTGTCTCTCTTGGTTTCACCTCTATGGGCATCTTGTATGGTCACTCAAGGTCTCATTTTGGTCAGTCATAAAATGTTGATCTTCGAGTCTGCGACTCAAGCTTGTGAACTTTGTTCTTTGATTCAAAATTACAGATCTGCAACTATGCTTGTTCTTTGATTTATTTTATTTTATTTTTTGTGTTTGAGTATCAAGAATCTGGTTGCAAGGCCCCAAACCTCTTATTCGAACACGACCTTGTGCCACCCAGATCTAAGCAACAAGTCGAGTCGCCAACCAGCTCCCAATTAAAGTTACATAACAGATCTCTACGCAATGCACCTAACAAACCAACCAACCCAATTGTCCAAGACAAGAGAAGCAGAAGCAGATCTTAAGCTCCCTCCTAAACTCCTATTTCCATTTATATCACCAAACAACGTAAACAAAACAAAACAGAGGATCAATTTTTCCTCGAGGACATCAAAACCCAGGGAAATTTCAAATACGGACAAGAAATGGAATCCCAAAAACGGAACCAAACAGCGGATCTCGTAATCCGTGGCTGTTAGTTGGAGGGTCAACCGGAAATAGTTGAAGAAAGAGAGGAATTGGAGTTTACCTGTGAGGCTGTGAGAGTGGAATTTGGGATTTGGGGGAAATGTAAATGCTGGAATTTAGGGAGGATAGAGGAAGTGTTTAAAGAGAGAGAGAGAGAGATGGCGACTTGATCTGGGTTGGAGAGAGTCAGATCTAATGGAGGTGGGGCGGAGCTGTGGGGAGGGTGGGGCGGAGGTCAGGCTGGAAGGCAGGGGAAATGGGAGAAGATGAGTTTTTTTAAAAAAAATTATTTTAAAAAATAGATTTTTTTATTGTTTTTTCATTTATTTTATTAATTTTGTTTCTTATGTAGAGTCCACGTTAGTTAAAAAATGAGTCCCACAAATGCCATGTAGGCAGATAACGGATTTTCTGACGATCTCGCTAACGGAGGGGGTAAATTATAAGTTTTCCACGACGTTGTGTATGTACTTATAAATATCCCCAAAATCGAGTATGGAATCATAAATGACCCTATAGGTTGAGGGGCTTTCTGTAGTTTGTTTCTTTTTACATCTCCAATTTACATCTTTTGCAATGGAGATGCTCTAACAGTTTTACCAAGACTAATGCAAACAAGGCTATCAATCCAGTATTTTATCTCTTTCTTTGGGTCAAACAGTATTTAATCTCAATGGTTGACTAATTGAATCAGTCAACATCCAAGACTTGAGTTTACTCCAGAATGGCAACTATAAATATAGACCATAAATACATGGCTGGCTGCGCGAAACGTACGTGATATTTAAACCAAGTGGCAGAAATTTCAACACAAAAAGATCAAACATTGTCAATCATTCAAATGCGGACAGTGACAGACCATCAACTAGCCCATAAAAAAAATAAGTGAAACACCACCCCGTTCATCGCACATGCAAATTCGCAAATGCCCAGAAAAAAAAATGTTTTTAAACACTTTGCTTGTCTTCTTCTTCCTCTTCCCATTTTGCACATCCATTGACACCATAGCAGCGAACCAGCATGTGAAAGATGGTGACTTTATAGTTTCCAAAGAAAACAACTTTGAATTAGGCTTCTTCAGCCCCGGCAACTCAGGCTCTCGCTATGTTGGAATTTGGTATGCTAATAAGTCTGAAAAGGCAGTGGTTTGGGTTGCAAACAGAAACAACCCCATCAATGATACCTCTGGTGTTCTCACAATCAACAGGTACGGAAAATTGGTTCTTTATGCTCACAATATTGACAACGTTTCTATTTGGTCAACAAATGTGTTGGTCGAAACCACAAGCACTTGTGTAGCTCAGCTTTTAGATACAGGAAATTTAGTGCTTTTACCGGATAGTATTAGTAAAAGTGAAAGCTTTATATGGCAGAGTTTTGATTATCCTACAGATACTCTACTTCCAGGAATGAAAGTTGGGTTGAATTGGAAAATTGGGTTGGAATGGGTCTTAACATCTTGGAAGTCCCAAAATGACCCTGGAACTGGTAACTATAGCTTGAGGCTCTATTCAAACCAGACTGCTACGCCCCTAATTTTTCTGTACAAGGGTTTGACCAAATATTGGAGAAGTGATCCAGGGCCTTGGCCCAGTTTTGTGAGTAATAATGAAGAAATGTATTATTTCCTTTTAACTGATAACACCTCCGTAATTAGATCCGTGTTGACGGATTATGGGATACTACAACAACTGAGATGGAATGATGCTGTTAATCAGTGGGAGGAACTATGGGCTGCACCAAAATACCGGTGTGACCGATATGGACAGTGTGGTGCCAACAGCAAATGTAGCCCTGACAATATTAATATGTTTGAATGTGAGTGTCTACCGGGGTATGAACCAAAATCTTCGAATCATTGGAACTGGAGAGATGGGTCAGACGGGTGTGTGAGCAAGCGAATTGGGGTGTCAAACTGTGGGGATGGGGATGGGTTTGTGAAGGTGGCACGGGTGAAAGATCCAGACACATCGAAAGCAGCACAATTGTTGCCAAATACTAGTGCCAATTGGTGTGAGCAGGTGTGCTTAAGCAATTGTTCCTGCACGGCATATATGAGCATAGAATGGGAAGGCCGCATTGATTGCTTGGCATGGTACGGTGAGTTGTGGGACATTTTAGTACACACGGAGCTAGGGCGAGATCTATATGTTCGTGTGGACAAAATGGAATTAGGTACTACTTCGCTTGCCAAGGAAAATTCAATTGTAAATTTCAGAATCTGTGTGAAACTCACTGGACTGGTTTTGGTGTCCACATGGGTTCTCTTTTTCATGGTTTTCTAATCCTTTGTCTCACTCTTTTGTGTAGCTGAGAATACCAGAAAATCAAAAGGTTTTCTCAAAAGTAGGGGCTTGCTGGCTATTCCAATGGCGGCTGTTGCATTGGTACTAATCATTGGGTTTGCCTGCTGGTGGCTTAAGAAAAAGAGGAAGATGAAAGGTATGAGAAGTACTCATCTGCTTTGAATTGTTTAACTGTTTCATCTAAATAAAAAGCAGTGTGCTCATAAAAGTATGGAATTGGTCATAACACTTTTGCATTCTGACTGAACCACTCCGCTTCAATAGGATCCATATGCGCTGTGTTAAATTTCCATTTTCTAGTGTGCAAACAGAACACTAGGGAGAAAATGAATGCTAATATGCTTTTTGTGATAGCAAAGATTTTGTGGAGGCGGATGAACTTGAGGACACTAGGACACACCCAGAGATGCAATTTTTCCATCTGAGCGCAATAATAGTAGCCACAGGCAACTTCTCTCCTGTCAATAAACTTGGCCAAGGTGGTTTTGGCACTGTTTATAAGGTAATTTCTAATATCAATGTCCTAACATTTCATAATTGAATGATTTCTTCTGAGAAGTAGAAAATACTTTTCTTCTGAAAGATTTATAATAGTGCTGAACCATAACTTCAGGGTCAGATAGCAAATGATCAGAAGATTGCTGTAAAAAGATTGTCCAAAACTTCAGGACAAGGAATTGAAGAATTCAAAAATGAAGTTGCGCTGATAGCCAGACTTCAACACAGGAATCTTGTGAAACTTTTAGGCTGTTGTATAAAGGGAGAAGAAAGGATGTTAGTCCTGGAATACTTGCCGAACAAAAGCTTGGACTCCTTTCTTTTTGGTATGTCTAGAGGAAATATTCATTTGTACATGCCATTTCTAAAATTTTGAAGAATATTTTTTAAGCTTCTTACTAAAGTATATAACATTTATTTACTCAAAAGCCAAATATCTCGATGTAGATCACACAAGAAGTTCCTTGTTGGACTGGAAAAAGCGCTTTGAAATTATCAATGGGGTTGCTCGTGGGATTCTGTATCTTCACCAGGATTCAAGACTTAGGATTATTCATAGGGATCTAAAAACCAGCAATGTTCTTCTAGATGCTGAGATGAACCCAAAAATATCAGATTTTGGCATGGCAAGAATATTCCATGGGGACCAACTGCAGGATAAAACCAACAGAGTTGTTGGAACATAGTAAGAACTATACTTGCAATCACACATTCATGGATTAATTCACCATAATCTCACCTTCCATTTTTATCTTATTATTCTTTGGTTGTAATGCAGTGGATATATGTCCCCTGAGTATGCAGTGTTTGGAAGATATTCAACCAAATCAGATGTCTTTAGTTTTGGGATCATATTATTGGAGATTGTGGGTGGCAAGAAAAACAATGGCTCTTATCAAGGGGACCATTCCATGAACTTGATAGGACATGTGAGCAACACAAACTTTGCCAACAATTTCCCCTTCCTGATTACTGCTCATATTCATCCCTTTCTGAAAATGTTACTGTCAACAACTACAGGTTTGGCAGCTGTGGAGAGAAGATAGAGCCTTAGAAATTGTGGATTCATCACTAGAGTCATATCATTCTGATGAAGTCTTGAGATGCATTCAAGTCGGGCTCTTGTGCGTGCAAGAAGATTCAGAGGACCGACCAACCATGTCAGCCGTTGTATTTATGTTGAGTGGTGAAGCATCTCTACCATCTCCTCAGCAGCCTGCATTTGTCTTCAGAAAAAGTTCCTGCGGTGGTGGTTATCTATCAAGTCCACAAGGATTATATTCTGTTAACGACTTGACAATAACTAAACTTGATGCTCGATAAGGATTTAGGCTCTTGCTTCCACAATTATCAAAACGTTATTTGCTTTATTGACCTTCATATGACATAGTGGCACTGCATAATGTGCCCATCACCTTAATACAAATTTCTAATCTATCCATTCATGTGAACTTTATGAAAGAGAGTGATGAATTTGGAGATGCAACCTTTAGATAAGCCACAAACTGAAATGCATAAATTGGCTGTTACAATCTTCAAAATATGACATTACACAGCAGATTGTTGCTCTGGGCACGAATTTACACCATCCTCTTCAGTCTTGTGGCCACAACAGGTTTTATTTGTGAGCTTCTTGTTTTTTCTTTATATCTTGACAATTGTACATTGCAAAATGTGACGCCACCGTTGGAAATTAAACCCTGCTGGGTGATTCTTCGTGCTCACGAGTGCCAAGGCTGCAGTTGAACTTTCTGTGGAGTCGGTGTTTTGTTTCTGGCTTTTTGCTTGATAAGTTGGGTTTTTCCCATGTCTTTGCTCAGCATGTTGAGCTTGCCCTTCGTTTACTTGCGTTCTGGTTTGGTGTACTTGGTTTAGGCCCTTTTGGTTTAATGTACTTGTTTCTTCACCCCAAAATAATTGTGAAGTCATACCTTTCAGAGAAAAACTTAAAGTGTACGTGAACGTATAGACCGTTTTTCTCTTTCTTTGTCTCTCATCACCTCATGACTTCTGATTCCTTTGATACAAAATTAACCACAGATTAAATATACACAAGAAAATCGTGTTTGTGTAAGATGTATAAACATGCTTGATAAGGTCATACCTTAACTACCTACCGTCTAACGCTGCGATCGTTACTTGGTCTATAGTGCGGGATCCTTCCAACTTGCTTGAAGATGAGTCTGTTTGACCTGCAGGGTTCCTTCCTAGGCAAAAACCAGGGGTTTTAGGCTGGGGCATTTTTGCATCTGGACTGCTCAACATGAAAACCACAGAGGACATTGTAGGCCTATCTACCACATGCTCTTGGACGCATAAAAGGCCAACTTGAATGCATCTCAACACCTCAGAGGGGCAATATGAATTCCCAAGTGATGAATCTACCATCTCCAACCCCTTTCCTTCTTTCCATTGCTTCCAAGCCTGGAACACAATCCAAGTCATTTCTTTGTTACTTGTGAATCTAATGAAATGTAATTACAATCTGTGCGCTTTTTACTTACACAGTCTAGGAGGTTTGGTTTATTGTCTGAATAATTAAAAAATCCCTTGTTCTTTTTGCCACTAATAATCTCCAACACTAGAACACCAAAACTAAAGACATCTGACTTGGTTGAGAAGAACCCATCCATTGCATATTCAGGAGACATATAGCCACTGCAGATCACCCAATAAAAAGAAGTGAGATTAGTATATTGGTCAGCTAATTGGGTTGACCTCATCAGCAAAATAGAAAGCTTATGATACTCACTATGTTCCTACTACTCTTCTTGTATGAGATTCGTTCTGATCTTTACCAAATATTCTAGCCATTCCAAAGTCTGATATCTTTGGGGTGAATTCTCCATCAAGTAAAATATTGCTTGCCTTGAGATCCCTATGGATGATTCTAAATCTTGAATCCTGGTGAAGGTAAACAAGTCCTCGAGCAATCCCACAAATAATGTTGTAACGCTTTTGCCAATCCAACGTAGACCTTTTTTCTCTGCCTACAACGATTTTTGACTTACTTTATAACAACTTTAATTAACTATTAAGTAAAGATAATTAAATTTGAGGCACTTACTGAATAAAAAGGCATCCAGGCTTTTGTTTTCCATGTATTCATAAATCAGCATCTGTTCATCCTTATCAATGCAGCAAGCAAGCAGTCTAACAAGATTTATGTGCTGAAGCCTTGCAATTAACTTCAATTCGTTCTTGAATTCTTCAGTTCCTTGTCCAGAGTTTTTTGAAAGTCTCTTGACAGCAATTTCTTGACCTTCTGTCAATGTCCCCTGGCATTAGCCACACATAAATCTGTCAGGTCACCTGAAAAATATATATATATCAATCGAACTTGGGGGAGGGCGAGAATTCGAACTTGGGACATTAGTGTAAGGGTAAATATTCTTAGCCACTTCAGGTGCATATGCAGTTTCTTTTATACATGATCTAGTGATTGATTTCTAACCAAATGTACTTGCCTTGTAAACATAACCGAAACCACCTTCTCCGAGTAGATTTTCATCAGAAAAGTTATTAGTAGCCACTGCTACAGTGCTGAAATCAATCAATGCCAACTCTGGCTCATCATTGATCCTTTCACCCGAGTAGAAGTCCTTACTTGTGAAAACAACCTCATTTAGCAGAAGAACTTGGCTTCTTCCATAAGGACCTGTTCAGAAACAAGCAAAAAAATAGAAAAAAAAACACTTGGTAGGTCAATATCTAAAAGTTTTGCACTCATTTGTTGAACATATAGAATTACGTTAATAGGTACGTACCTTTTGGTTGTGTCCTTGCATTGTGGCTAATACGTAAATTCCTCTTCCATACAATGTAGAAACCAAGTCCTGCTAGAAGAATGACAAGACCAACTATAGCGACTACAATTATGATTGCTAGTTTTTCCTTCCCATCACCACCTGAAATGAACATAATTGTAGTTAGTGATAGTTGATGTTATTAAAAAGTAGTCTGAATAATGGAAGGTACCTATTTCTGACCGTGCCAATCGAACATAGAGATCTTGGCCACCATCTGCATATACCCTCATGTCCATTAGCTCCCCAAACCACATGACGCAACCTCTCCCTCCGTTTGAAATCTCCATGTTACAATAAGCAGTGCAAGAACAGTTCTCCAAACACTTCTCTTTACATGCCTCAAGGCTCATGTCCCCATCCACAAATGCACCCCCACTCTCAGGCAATTTCACACTCCTCAACCTCAAGAACTTGTCTTTCAGGCATTTCAATTCTCGTTTTCTCACACATCCATCAAACCCATTTCCCAAATTCCAAGCCTCCAAATTCTTAGGCTGAAACCCTCTCACACATTTACACACAGGTGAAGCATTTGTGTCACAAATACCAAATGGACCACACTCTCCATAGCTGTCACATTGGTCCTTTGGGGGATACTGAAATATATTCCACATCTTTGTGTTCTCAACCCATGTAATCTGTTGAACGTCCCCATTTGGACTCACTGTCAAGCCTGAATATTCAAGTTCCAATTTGTTCTGTAACGAAAACGAGTAGTAGACCTCATCTTTTTTCGTAACGAAGTTGAAATCAACACCATGCTTCGAAGCACACATTTCCGGCACACCACTAAATATCATCCCATTCCAGGGGCCGGTTCGAAAGTTTTTGACATGTTTGTGCCAAAGGAAAATCTCCGGGAAGCCACGGTAATCTAGTTTGATAGAAAAGTCCCCTGTTGATGGGTCCTCTGAGCTTTTCCATGAGGTCAAGTACCTGTTTAAACCTGTGCTCAAGTTCCATCCAAGCTTCATATCCGGAAGCAGAATGTGTGTGGGATAATCAAAGCTCTGCCAGAAAAATGTTTGGCTGTTTTCGGTTCCTTCTTTGATCACAAGATTGCCTGTATCCAAAAGCAGGACATTTGGTCTCAAAACTTCGGTGTGATTGGAGGACCAAGTGACATTTCCAGATGGATCAAGAAGGACAATGTTTCCATGATCACCAGTCATCAAAAGAGCTCCTGATGAATTTGAAAGTGGGGTGTCTCTGTTGGCCACCCAAACAACTGTTCTGTTTTGGACATTTTTGTACCATATGCCCAAGTACCAGCCTGAAGTATTGCCTGGCTTGAAGAAACCCAACTCAAAGACTTCACAGGGGGAGACAATGGTCATGTTTCCTTCGACCAATACATCTGGAGTGAAAGATAAGTCGTCTTCTAAGCTGGCAATTGGGGAGAGAGTAAGTAAACTGTTGAGGCACAAAATGGTGAAAAACAGAGACTGTTGCTTTGTTAAAGCTCTCATTTTTTTTTTCAATATCTCCTAGGGCGAAAAGGAAAACAGAGCTACTTTCACTCTGGCTTTTTATGTATTTTCTTGGTCTCTTCTTCAACTATGGCAGCAATATGGGCCAAAAATGGTTTTTTTTTTATAATTAAAATAATTTTTTTATATTTTACTTGGGGTCTTTTACAAATTCCCAATCTTTCGGATTCTCAATCAAAGATCAAATTTGGGGTTTCCCAAATTGTGGTTCGATCTCATCTTGATTTGATTAACTTTTGCAAACTTGTATGTCTGCATGATTTGTCCCAATATTTACTTTCCTTAGCTTCATCTTTCTCGATTTACTTGAATTGAAATTGATCACTTACATTTGATTGCTTTCCAAATCCACTTGGTTTTCAAAACATTTCGACTAAAATGTTTTTATTTCGCAGGGTTAAATTAAAGTAATTGAACAACTTTAAGAAAATTGGCATAATTATCTATCTAGCCCGCTTAACTAATTTTTCGTAGACATTAATTTATTTTTCATAACAGGTAGTATTATATTATAGGGCTCGACAGGCTTCATTTGGGAAAAAGAGTCTAGCCCGCTTTCCAATTTTTAATTCTAAAAATCCTATTTTCCTTTTTCAATGTCAATTTAAGATTTGGTTGGTAGTGATGGATTATTTGATTCTTTCTTTAATTCCGTTATTACCATTTAAGTGGATCTATGGCGATCTATAATAAAAATAATAATAATGATATATCACACCAAGAATAAGACAAAGTATCCACTCAAGAAAGGTCCAGTCTAGTATCTACGTTTGGGAAAATCTTCATTTACTGTCCCAATTCCAATAGAGAAAACGGGTTCTTTCTATACAGAAAGGAAAACCTTCTCAATGTGTGTGAGGAGAAATCGGGGGCCCATCTCTTCTTTTGTTTTTTCATCAAAATATAAATGCAATTTTCTTTCTCAAACCCTAACTCTAACACGAGCCGTTTTCCAGTCCCTCTCTCTCTCTCGCTACTCGCGACCTCTCTTCTTCTTCAATCCTCATCTCTCTCGCTCATAGCACCAAATAAGACAAAGTATCCACTCAAGAAAGGTCCAGTCTAGTATCTACGTTTGGGAAAATCTTCATTTACTGTCCCAATTCCAAGAGAGAAAACGGGTTCTTTCTATACAGAAAGGAAATCCTTCTCAATGTGTGTGAGGAGAAATCGGGGGCCCATCTCTTCTTTTGTTTTTTCATCAAAATATAAATGCAATTTTCTTTCTCAAACCCTAACTCTAACACGAGCCGTTTTCCAGTCCCTCTCTCTCTCTCGCTACTCGCGACCTCTCTTCTTCTTCAATCCTCATCTCTCTCGCTCATAGCACCATCATGATCTCGTCCCTGATCTTGGAGAATCCAAAATGGCGTTTTTTTTCTCTTCTAGGCACAGCACCCGCCTAGCCGCTCGCCTAGCACCCGCCTAGACTGCCTAGCGCCTACCCAGCTCTTGCCTAGACCACCTAGCGCCACCTAGCCCGCCTAGCCCCTAGCGACCTCCTAGACCGCCTAGCCCCAGCCTAGGCCATTTATTCAGTAATATTAACAATATGAGTGACAGTGTGTTCAATGATATAACTTTTAAAGAAGATTTTCGAGAATTGGAAAAGAAAGAGATGATGCTTACATTGCTCCCACAACCTTGTGAGTATTTGCTAGACTCTGCGTGCCTTGAACTATACGTGCCAATCCAAAATCTGAAATTTTTGGGTTCATGTTCTCATCCAAGAGAATGTTACTGACCTTCAAATCTCTATGTATTACCTTCAAACAGGAATCATGGTGGAGATAAAGAAGCCCTCTAGCAGCACCCGGAATACTCTTCAAGCGTCGACCCCAATCAAGCACTGCTCCTCCTGTCATTGGAATTCAAAATATAACAGTAATGTCATTAATACATCCCAATCCCATGCACTTCAAAATGAAAAAATTGACCACCACTAGGTAACAAAGAGCAATGAAACTAACTGAATAGAAGAGTATCCAAGCTTCCGTTTGGCATGAACTTGTAAATTAGTAACTTCTCATCATCCTGGACAGAGCAACCCATGATCCTAACAAGATTTTTATGTTGCAGTTTGGAGATCAACAACATCTCATTCTTGAACTCTTCTATGCCTTGCCCTGAGCTACTAGATGGTCTTTTTACTGCTATTTCCTTCCCTTCTTGCAGCTTACCCTACATTGCATAATTGCATTCATGTTTGTATCTTCTAGTAGAAGTTGTAGGCATGTAGCTGTAGTAATACTAATATTTTCCAATAGAAAAAGATAAAATAATTTAAAAATCACCTTGTTAACAGGGCCAAATCCTCCTTCCCCGAGTTTGTTTGTGATACTGAAATTGTTCGTAGCAAGTAATATGTTATCAAAATTATAGATGAGTAACTCTGACCGATCATGCTGTCTGATATATTCTTGAAGAGTGTCACTTGAATTCCCAATGGTATCATTCAATTCAATGAACTTTCTTGTTACTTTGATGTTTCCTGATTTGGTGAATGTAACAAACAAATAAGGAGTACTCAGTCAGAGCAAAACACTGAAAAGTAGGAGCAATTAATTACCCCACTTTCTTGTTACGTGGATGGTTTTGCTTGTGCAAGTTACTATTGCATGCAAAGCTGTAACACCTTTGATCCCCTGAAAAGAAGGAGATATTGATGTCAGACACTCATTTAAAATAGAACGAGCTGCGTGTAGAGAGCCATGGCGAGTAGCTAGGAACAAGGGAGACCCGTTAGCGTGATTAACAAGACAACACAGTTGAGGATCAGCTTTCATTAACAGAATCACCGCACTAAAGTGATCATATCGAGCAGCAATATGCAATGCTGTATCCATTTCCGAATTTTGCATTTGAAGTAGTGGCATTTCGTCATGAGTTTCAGCATAAGTAGTGAGTTCGCTCTCCTCATCATCAACGCGTAGTTTTTTCGCATGGTTGATGAGGAACTCAACTCCTTCATCACAACCAACTCTAGCATCAACGTGGAGGGGAGTTTCACCCTTGTTGTTGGTCGCCCAAAACAATGGCGATTGAGGTGGGATTTGTTTGAAGAAATCCATGTGCTTGAACTCAGCGGCAATGTGAAGTATATTATTGTCCATAGGCGTTTTCTGATGGAGAAGATCATCTGGTACGTCAGCATCTTTATTTTTTCTCAAGAAACCAACGTCACCTGACCTTGCTGCCTTATACAAGGACGGATCCATGTCTATCAAGTAACGTTTATTGATATTTTAGTGGCTGCTATATGTAAGCATCTGTAAGTGTGAGAATAAAAGGATCAAGATGACTTGTGATGAACTGCACAAACAAAAAACATATATACAAAGATTATTCCAATGCGAGAGAGTCTTTTCAGATTCTTTGCTCTTGGTCTTAAAAATATTGAATTCTTGTCTTCTCTAGGGTGTATCTTCTAGTAGTCTCACTGGACTGGATTGGACTTCAATTAAAATGGACAAGAGTCCTATCATAATTTCAGGGAAGAAAGTATCACAGGGATAATCAAAGCTTTCCCAAAAGATTCCTCCAGATATATGATCTCTCAAAATGAAGTTTCCGGTGTCTAAAAGCACTGCTTCCAAATTATTCAATGAGGTGGTGACACTGGTTGACCAGACAGTGTTTTGTTTTCCATCCACAAGCCTCAAATTTCCATCAATGCCCGTTCTTAGACTCAAAAAGGGGTTTGTAACTGCAAGTGTGGCCTCTCTCTGTTGGCCACCTATACGATTCGACTCTTTGCCTGAATTACCATATTCCAATGTATTGTTTGCCTGAATTACCAGGACTAAAGAAGCCCAATTCAAAATTTTGGTTGGTAGAGAGGTTAAATCTAGATGCCATGCAATGCAACTAATTTTCAGTTAAATATATACACAAACAGAAGGGAAGAGGAGTTGGTTAAAATTGCAGGGCTGCACGCATGGGTCTAACGCCTAGAGGAGTAATCGGGGGCCCATCTCTTCTTTTGTTTTTTCAATCAACATATAAATGCAATTTTCCTTCTCAAACCCTAACCCTAACATGAGCCGTCTTCCAGCCCCTCTCTCTCCCTAAGACTTCTTCAATCCTCATCTCTCGAAGGTGTGGTTAATCTCAAGGTGGTCAAGTAGCTGGGTGCTATTGTGTTCAAAGGAGGTTAACTCACCAAGGGAGAACGTGAGGGAGAGCAATCAGTTCAAGTTTAGAGCTGAGTTGGTGTCTTGAGAGTCTAGACACAAGGAGGGAAACACCGAGGGTTGTGAGAGTGTTCACAAGTGCATCAAAGTGTTGAGCAAGGGGTGTGAGAGAAAAGAGAGCTTGGGGAGAGAATAGAGTTCTAAGGGGGTTTTTCTGTGTAAAACCAAAGTTGTAACTTATTCTTTCATGAAGTGAATTTCTCAAGGGGATCACCAAGAGGATGTAGGCAATTGCTGAACCTCTATAAATTCTTGTGTCACTTTGTGCTTGGTTGTTGTCTCAAGTGTGTGTGTGTGATTCATCTATCTTTGTGTGTGTCACAAAGTCCATCAACAACAAGATCATTAGGGGAGTGAGTGAAAGTGTTTGTCCATTTTTTTCACAACAGAACTCAACTCCTTCATCACAACCAACTCTATCAGCAACGTGGAGGGGAGTTTCACCCTTGTTGTTGGTGGCCCAAAACAATGGCAATTGAGGTGGGATTTGTTTGAAGAAATCTATGTGCTTGAACTCAGCCGCAATGTGAAGTATATTATTGTCCATAGGCGTTTTCTGATGGAGAAGATCATCTGGTACGTCAGAATCTTTATTTTTTCTCAAGAAACCAACAGTCAACTGATCTTGCTGCCTTATACAAGGAAGGATACATGTCTATCAAATAATGTTTATTGATATTTTAGTGGCCTGCTATTTGTAAGCATCTGTAAGTGTGAGAATAAAAGGATCAAGATGACTTTTGATTTTTCATGCACAGAGCGCACGAGGCTTGTATCCCGCAGTGATGATTGTAAGGTAGTCTCAAAATCTTTAAAATCTTAAACCAAGTCTTATATTATACTTAGGTGATCTGAAATGTAATGCAGTACTCGTTTCCTTTTGGAAAAGCAAAGAAACATTATGCTGCACACTATATTCTGTTTCTTCTATTTATTAAAGAGTTATTTACACTAACAACCCCTAAGGGGTAAAATGCTATACTCACTATTTGCCAGTGACTATTCCTAGTGGGTATAGTCGAGATGTTGTTAACTATTCTACTAAGTTTTTTATATGCTTGACCTTAAGGCTTGCTGGTTTAGGCTACCAGAATAAGTGATATACGCTTGTATCTGGTTTATGCAGAATATGCAAGTTTGCGTATATAGGATGCTGAATTGATGCGTTATGCGTTATTCAGTTCTCGTATTTCAGCTGTGGAAAAATTAATATGTTAATTTTGCAAGAAAAAATTAATGTATGCAGAGAAATATTGATATGTCCTTCCTTGTGTAATTTTGACGTTACATATTGGTTGTCGAATTGTTTAGTATGTTTTAGCAATGCCAATAATTGTGGTGTATGCTTGAGTTAAGGTTTGGCTAACAATACTTAAATATTAGATGCCCCATACTTTGGCTGCGCTCACAGTTTACCACCTACCCCATCTGTAATTTAAGCTGACTAGCTATTTAAAATGATGCGTGTCCTTTCAGCTTTTTTGGTGCTCAAGGAATGTTCATTGAAGACTAACTATGCTGTCCTCTATTCTCTGTATAACAAGCAGGTAAAAGTTCGGTGCACACGGCAGGAAAGGAAACTAGCTAGTGTTCTAGACATTGACATGAAAGCGAACATTTGTTGCTTTAAGTATAATCCTTTATCTATAGCAACTGCATTGCGGACCGGTATATATTACATGAATCGGATTTGTACGTACGCTTTGAAAGTAAGATATTGGGTCCCCTGTTGATTATCTTGCATGAGACTAACTCCATTTAGAGTAAAATGCACCTAATTCTGGCACCCCTATGAACTTCAATCCATTTCATTGGCCACAAGCCTCAAATTTCCATCAATGCCCGTTCTTAGACTCAAAATGGGGTCTGTAACGACAAGTTGCCTCTCTGTAGGCCACCCATACGATTCGACCATTCGACGTATGGAGTCATTCTTATACCATATTCCAATGTATTGTTTGCCTAAATTACCAGGACTAAAGAAGCCTAATTCAAAATTTTGGTTGGTAGAGAGGTTAAAGTTTCATTTTGCAAGATATGTTTGGATGGAGTTAAAATGTGAGTTGCAGCAGTAGAATGAAACGAAATGAAATCAACTTGTGCAAAGAGAAATATGGACAAGAACAGCATGCTGAAAATTGGAGATGCAATCATTTTCCTTGAAAGGTGGCACTTTGTGAGTGAGTATTTTCAGTTTTTGCTTTTGGTCTACCTATTGGAAAAATGGCTCACCTAAGGATACAAGTGTGTTTTGGCGCTGAAAGGATGATTTTGAATCTGTCTAAAAGCGACCGGTCGCTGGACATTTGCGACCGGTCGTTTTGAAGCAGATTCGAAGTCTGGAGCGAAACTGAAGAGCGACCGGTCGCTAGTTCTTTGCGACCGGTCGCAGGAAGCCCAAGCGACCGGTCGCGTAGCATTTGCGACCGGTCGTTTAGAAGCAGATTCAAGGTCTGGAGGAAAAACCAAAAGCGACCGGTCGTCCCAGTCGAGCTGTGACGATTTCTTACGTGTTTTCAACTGTGTTTTCGATGGCTATCGCTTTCCACATGATTTCAGAAGCTTTGTGGGTCACTTCTGAGTTAAATGAATGTTGACTACGTGCTGGATAAGTTGGGAGAGCACTCATGGCTAATTGGTTATCTTATTTCAAAGATATCACTCTCCATTTTCTGGTGTAAGTGGGAGGTGGCTGAGTTGGATTCTATTTACCTACTTGATCTGACATTTAGTCTAAGTGGTGACTAAAGGGAAGAACGTGGAGGACAAGCTGATATCTTATCTCTTGTCTATTGGCTTGTGTAGGAAATGGGGTGAAGTAAGATAACACAAGAGGAGAAAACAAGTTGAATAATTGTAAGTGGAAGAAGCTGTAATTCTGAGTTGAGAGAGTTAGAGTTTTTCAGTTTGTCAAGATAGCCAAGGGGAGAGCAAGAGAGTTCTCTAAGTGTATCAAGGTGTTGAGCAAGGGTGTGAGAGAAACAGATTGTGAGGGTAGTGTTCTAAGGGGGTTTCCTTTGTAAACCAAAATTGTAACCTATCTTCATTAGTGAAATTTCTCAAGGTGATCACCAAAGAGGATGTAGGCAATTTGCTGAACCTCTATAAACACTTGTGTCATTTGTGCTTGGTTAATTTGTGTGTGTGTGTAAGACTCATCCATCATTGAGTTCTTTGTCTAAAGTCCATCAACAACAAGATCTTAAAAGGGCAGTGAGTTAGTCATTAATTCACAACACTACCAACCCTTCAATCTTTGAGACTTTTGACCCAATAAAGGCTAAAACATTAGGCTTAGGATATAAAAAATGAATGGCTATACTGTGGGCATGTTTTGCAACCAAGGATTGACAGCTTGGAGTTTATGTGGATCTCTTGCAATCTCTAATAAGAATAATATGATATATTACACTAAGAATAACAATGTAGACAAAGACAAAGTATCCAATCAAGAAAGCTCCAGTCTAGTATCTACGTTTGGGAAAATCTTCATTTACTGTCCCAACTCCAAGAGAGAAAAGGGATTCTTTCCTGTACAAAAAGGAAAACCTTCAATGTGTGTGAGAAGGAAGAACACTTGACAAAAAATGGCCAAAAGTCATAGCATTGTGATGTATGCAACAATATGCTATTGTTTATCGTCCTTGAATCAATGTTATGGTAGCTTCATTTCCAGAGTAGATATTGTCATACTGTGGTTGAGAATCAGAGACTGACTTTTGGACAGTAAATATAGGCCGGTTAGGTTGCGGACAATCTGTCTCGGTACTTAGCATGGAAATTACATCTGGCATGGTTGGCCTATCTGCTGCATTGTCCTGTACACAAAGAAGACCAATATTCACACATCTCATCACTTCTGACGGTGAATATGAATTTGCCAATACTTGATATTTAGCTTCATATAGGTTGCTTAAGCTGTATGAAAGATACGATTTTGCTTTAAGCTATAGAGTGTGAGCTTACATAAGCTAGGAAGCCTAGTTGTTGGTCACTGCAATAGAAGCTGGTATTCTTTTTGCCACTAATAATCTCCAATAGCAAGACCCCGAAGCTATAGACATCAGATTTTTCAGAAAACATCCCGCCCATGGCATACTCCGGAGACATATAGCCACTGCACAATCAATTGAGTAGTATTAAACTGACGAAATTGCTTCTTTGTTTATAGTCTTGAGAAAAATGATACCAGAAAAGTTAAATCTAGATGCCATGCAATGCAACTAATTTTTAGTAAATTATGAACACAAACAGAAGGGAAGAGGAGTCAGTTAAAATTGCAAGGGTTGTATATTGAAGCGCTAGTACAACTCGATTTACCAACATGTCAATCCCAATGTTCGAAACAAGGTGGTAGGCGAGCTGCAGGCAGGGGTCTAACGCCTAGAGGAGTAATCAGGGGCCATCTCTTCTTTTGTTTTTTTTTCATCAACATATAAATGCAATTTTCCTTCTCAAACCCTAACTCTAACACGAGCCGTCTTCCAACCCCTCTCTCTTGCTCAGACATAACCCGAGACCTCTCTTCTTCTTCAATCCTTATCTGTCTCGCTCATAGCACCATCGTCATCTTGTCCCTGACCTTGAAGATTCCAAAATGGCGTTTTTTTTTTGTAGGCGCTAGCGCCCGTCTAGACCACCTAGCTCCCACCTAGACCGCCTAGCCCGCCTAGTGCTTGCCTTCCCCGCCTAGCCCATTTATTCAGTAATATTAACAATATAAGTGACAGTGTGTTTAAGGATTTAACTTTTAAAGAAGATTCCCGAGAATTGGAAAAGAAAGAGATGATGCTTACATTGTTCCCACAACCTTGTGAGTATTTGCTAGACTCTGCGTGCCTTGAACTATACGTGCCAATCCAAAATCTGAAATTTTTGGGTTCATGTTCTCATCCAAGAGAATGTTACTGACCTTCAAATCTCTATGTATTACCTTCAAACAGGAATCATGGTGGAGATAAAGAAGCCCTCTAGCAACACCCTGAATAATCTTCAAGCGTCGACCCCAATCAAGCACTGCTCCTCCTGTCATTGGATCTACAATGCACCAATTCAAAATATAACAGTACTTCATTAATACATCCCATTCCTATGCACTTCACAATGAAAAAATTGACCACCACTAGGTAACAAAGGGGAATGAAACTAACTGAATAGAAGAGTATCCAAGCTTCCGTTTGGCATGAACTCGTAAATTAGTAACTTCTCATCATCCTGGACAGAGCAGCCCATGATCCTAACAAGATTTTTATGTTGCAGTTTGGAGATCAACAGCATCTCATTCTTGAACTCTTCTATGCCTTGCCCTGAGCTACTAGATAGTCTTTTTACTGCTATTTCCTTCCCTTCTTGCAGTTTACCCTACATTGCATAATTGCATTCATGTTTGTATCTTCTAATAGTAGTTGTAGGCATGCAGCTGTAGTAATACTAATATTTTCCAAAAGAAAAAAGACAAAATAATTTTAACAATCACCTTGTAAACAGGGCCAAATCCTCCTTCCCCGAGTTTGTTTGTGATACTGAAATTGTTTGTAGCAAGTAATATGTTATCAAAATTATAGATGAGTAACTCTGACCGATCATGCTGTCTGATATATTCTTGAAGAGTGTCACTTGAATTCCCAATGGTATCATTCAATTCAAAGAACTTTCTTGTTACTTTGATGTTTCCTGATTTGGTAAATGTAACAAACAAATAAGGGGTACTCAGAGCAAAGCAAAACACAGAAAAGTAGAAGCAGTTAATTACCCCACCTTCTTCATCATAGCAAGTCTATCAAGTTCAGAAAATCAACCAGTAAATATGCTCTTATAAAGCTACTCATGGATTTGATTAATACTTTAGAGAGAGATCATTCTCTTACCCGTTTGTTTCGCTCGCAACCTGTGCAAAATGAACACTATGGCAACCAAGACACCCATAAAACAAATAGCTACTGTGAGGCTAACAATTATCCTTGTTCGCTTTCCTTCACCTGAAAAAATGAATTTGTAATACATAAAGTATGAGACAGAAGAGTGAACAGATATGGCTAGTGCAAGCAATATTATCACTTACCAGATTCTGTGCGTAGGCGAATAAAAAGATCTTGTCCAGCAGATGAAAACTCCTCAACATCAATAATGTCTTTGGACCAGACCAAACACCCTATATTATTAACATATGTATAGGCCAAGCAAGAACAATTATCTAGACACTGTCTCCTGCAGTTTTCAGCACTCAAAGACGAAATATACTCATGAAAATCTGGTAGTTTTACACTTGACATCTTCCAAAACCCATCGTCATTTCCTCTCGAAGCAACTGACTGATTTGTGTTACTCTCACAAAACAATTTGGCTTTCCTCACACACCCTCCTGTCCTGTTTCCTTTGCTCCATTCCTCAAGTGACTTGGGAACAAACCCTTTCAAACACTTGCAGATTGGAGATTCAGAAGCTTTGCAAGCCCCAAAAGGTCCACATGCTCCATAATTGTCACATGGACTCTTCGGGGCTTCCCAGAAAGTATTCCAGTTCTCGCCATGTTTCGAATAGATAAGCTTTAGTACACCCTCTGAAGAGATGTCAATATATGCTGCCACAGTTTTTTCAAATAAACTAAAAGAGAAATACTTTGTTCCCAGTTGCGCATTTTCATCTAGATAAAATCCGCTTCCATATTGATCATCCATTTCGGGTACGCCAATGAACTTTGATTTATCCCATGGCCCGCTTCTCCAGTTGAGAGTTGATCCATTGATCCAAACCACCAACTGTGAAGGCACCTCTGGTGTCAATCCAACCAAGAATATCCCAGTTGATGGATCACTCTCACTTTTCCAGGCACTCAAGAAATTCCTCTTTCCGGATTTACTATCAAATCCCAGCAGCATACTAGGTAGAAGTGTGTCACTAGGATAATCAAAGCTCTCCCACAAATGATCAGCTGCTCCTGCATTGACTTTGACAACAAAGTTTCCATCGTCTAAAAGAAGGGCAGCTGCTGAACCATTAGATGGCACTGAAACATTATTTGACCAAACAGAATTCTGCTTCCCATCTACAAGTTCCAGAGTCCCATTGCTGCTAATTCTCAAACTAGCCACGGTGTCTGCAACTGCAAGAGGCTTTTCTCTGTTGGCCACCCACACAACTTTACGAGGAAGTATATTCTGGTACCATATCCCCACATATTTATTAGCAGCAGAATTATTAGGACTAAAGAATCCCAACTCGAATAAGTTGCCTGGGGAGACAATAGTTTGTCCCTCTGCTAATGGTCGCGACGGAGTTATGTCATGAACTTGAGCACAACACTGTAATGGAAGCAAGTTGAACAGCAACAGGATGAAGGTGGAGAAATTTAAAGCACTAAAACCTTCTTTTCCAATATCCATTTGCATCCCAGTATCTTCTGTTCATCAAAAACAACTTTGGGCTACTGTCCTTCAAGGTTGTTAGCTTGTCAGATGCAAACTTTATCAGTAGCAAATGGATCATGGATGCACATTTTTGAAGCTTGTTAGCTTTCTTACCCAAGAAGGGGTATCTAATTTCTGTTCTCTCTATCCTAGAAACTTCATCTTCTCTGGTCGAGATGGTCAACCTTGGCAGCCTCCTCATTTCAGTACTTTCAGGATTGGGTTGATACAAGTTGTTGTAATGGCTTTTTTCTTATGCTTAGTGAAATTCAACTACTATATCCACTTGCCTTGTCTTGCCTCCCCTGTTTTCGCATTAGGTGGCTAAGGCTTTAACTTATTTTTAAAAATAAATATAAAATAAATGTTGGGTTTTATCTTGTTGACTGTTTGACTCAATAATGCTGCACACGCTGTGGTCGCACAATTAAAATTTATAGGGTAATGCTAGACTTACCACATTTTTCATACCACATTGTATACCACATCTCTAATAGAGGTGGAGCCCACCAATACAATGGGGCCCGCTTCTATTAGAGAGCTAGTATACAATGTGGTATGAAAAATGTGATAAGCTTAGCATTTTCCAAATTTATATAGTCATTCCTTAATATTGTCAGTCCATAAAGATTTCCAACATCAAATAAACATACACGATCCATCCAGCTCACGTGGGACCCTACTACACCTCACCGATGACTGCCACGTTGGACCAGAAAGTGCTTTGAAAAATTCATTCCCAACAAAGCCCTCAGACCTTGGCTCACTTAAGAGAGACAAATATGTAAGAGAGCCTCTGACAGAAAAAAATGGAAAACTGCTATTGATTCTGTTAGTAAGTATAATTTGTTTTGGCAGTGTCTCTCTGGGATTTTGTTGCTTGCTGGGTTTATTTTCTATGTTTTTTGTTTTGATTCATTAGAAATGAGGCATTGTAGTATTATCTCAGCCTTTGATTGTTGCTTTAGATTGGACTGGTTGATGATTTTGCTAGATTTTAGGAATTCAGGGCTCTTTGGATGATGGTTTTAGATAGGAAAAATTGTAGGATTCACTGGTGCTGAGATATAATCACTTGGCACAGGCCTGCGTGCTCTTCTCCGCTTTATGACAGGATTGTATGTCTGCCTGATTAGAGATGACGTATATTCAAACACTCGGCAGGTTTGCTATTGCCTTTACTTCATTCTCATTCTATTTTCTAGCTAATCTCTTATGATTTCCTTTTCTTCTTCTTTGTCTTTCTGTCTCTCTGTCTCTCTCCCTCTCTACATCTCTCGTGAAATTTTTGCAGCGATCCACAGAAGCAGCAGGACGTTCTATAGTCTCAATTGTTGTGGACCACATATTTCTCTTCATTACTGATACTGGTTTGTGATTTTCCTTTACAAGGGCTAATAGGGATTCAATACTTTTGTACATGGAGTTAAAAAGATGTATGCTATTACGAATGTTAATTTTTAAGCATTCTCAGAAGTCTTGGGTTTACATGCAGAGTTCCAGCTCGAACTTTTGATGCAGTCACTCTTCTTCTCACGGGTACTGTTCTATGACTCTTACATATTAAATGAAAATTTTCATTGCCATTGTCTTAGTATTCTATGACTCTTGGATGGGTCCTATGTACTCTTTTTGTTTTGTAGTTGTTTTTTTATTTATTTTTAATTTTTAATTTTCCAAAGAACATGAAAGCCAAGATTACAGCTGATTACAGAGGACTGAGTTCACTATTACTGCTTTCTTTAGACTTTGTTGAGATCAGCAAAGAACCAAGTATGTAACTTGGTCATTAGTATCAAACTTGATAGTTTTATGTTGCTGTCATCATGTTTAATTTTCTGCAATAAGGATCCTTTGTGCTAGCATTGTCTTAGAATTGTTTGATTGTGATTGTTAATTTGCCCAGACGATTGCTTGATGTATAATTTTAGAAGGGTTATCTACTTAATATTTCAAAATCTTGAAACATAGACTTCACTTTTGGGTATGGTTATAAGCTATGCTTGGTTGAACTATGTTCTTTTGATTTGTGTTTGCTGAATTATTTCAATTTATGTTTTTGTGATACCTCATTAGCTATTTGATCTGGTCTTCTGGCTATGAATATGAATGAACATGTATGAGACAGAGAGAAAGGGAGAGCGACCTGATGATGTTGATGAGAGCTAGAGAGAGAAAAACAGAGGAGAATAGTAGGTTGCTAAAAGAGAACTAGGGTTTCCCAAACTCCTCGGATCTGCGCCGTGGAGTTTGAAAGTAGACTAGACGCTACCGGTACTAATCATGGAACACTTTCTATAGTTTTCGTTTTGATTCATTAGAACTGAGGTATTGTACCATACGTGGGTTTAGCTTACAGAGTTTTCGTAGAGGTAAAGAAAGCCTCTGCATTGAGGTTCTGATTTCATATGTACACTTTTGTTGTTGTTATTTTCTTAGTTGTATTTATTCTGGGCCTTTCACTGGTCTCTCTCCCCTCAATCCTCCTCTCGCTTGGCCTCTCCAATATCACTCTTTTCTCCATCACTTCATTTCCTTTTGCTGTTAAATTTTCTGATTTCAGTGAATTTGAGGGGTATAAATGGAGGTGGAGGGAATTGGGTTTGGTTGTGCGAGTGAAATTATGCATCTTTGTATGTTATTTCAGTCCAAGTTTGTACCTTTGTATATCTGTGTGTGTGTTATGTTTTCATAAATGGGAAGGCAGCTGTGATTGGGTTCCTATTGTTAGATTTTGAACTCGACTGGTAAAGGTCATCCCAAGGGAACTGGCTTCTTGAACTATTGTTGCAAAACATACTTATGGTCACGCATTTGAACTGATGTTATCCCTTTAAATGGATATATGGAGTGTTTATTTCATCCTATTTAAAGGTCACTACTTTAACCTAGGAGATGGGTGAATAGAAATATTAATCAGAATCCCAATCAGTTTATCTATTATGCTGAGTCAATGGTAATGGGGTGGCATAATATTGTGTTTCATATATGTTTTTACAACTTTTTACATATTTTATACAGTTTTAATACGCGTCATCGTGTGGGCACCTTTGCTAGTATTGCTTATAACCTGTTATGAAATATAAACAATTTGACTAAATATACAATTTGCATACCTATAAAGAAATCACAGAAGAAACAAAAAGGAAAGATTTTCAGAAAAAAAAACATTGGTGGGACAAGGGTACGAAGCTAGGGAAGAGAAGAAATTGTTGCAACCAAGGATTGCCTGCAATTCCTTATCGTCCTTGAAGCAGTGTTATGGTATCTTCATTTGCGGAGCAAATGTTGTTGTACTGTGGTTGAGGATCAGAGACTGAGCTTCGGAAAGTAAATATAGGCCGCTTAGGTTGTGGGCGATCTGTCTCCCTACTCAGCATGAAAACTACATCTGGCATGGTTGGCCTATCTGCGGCATCGTCCTGTACACAAAGAAGACCAATATGCACACATCTCATCACTTCTGATGGGGAATATGAATCTGCCAAGACGTCATCAACCAAGTCCAATCCCCTGCCTTCATTCCATGAGTGCCATGCCTGAAAAAGTTTCACATATGTTGGCTACAATTGTTAGACTCTATTGTATTTAGCTTCATATAGATTGTTTAACAATTTATAAGATTTAGAGTGTGAACTGACATAAGCTATCAAGCCTAGCTCTTGGTCATGATAATAGAAGCTGGTATTCTTCCTGCCACCAATAATCTCCAATAGCAAGACTCCAAAGCTATATATGTCAGATTTTTCAGAAAATATCCCGCCCATGGCATACTCCGGAGACATATAGCCACTGCACAGGAAATTCAATATCCACCAACTTATTATTATTATTCCTGATAACATGCTAAAAATCGTTAGAAATTTAGTTGGGAAATAACAATGCTGATAATAGGGAAGAAATGATTCTTACAGAGTTCCCACAACCTTCTGAGTGTTTGCTAGATTCTGTGTCCCTTCAAAGATACGTGCCAATCCAAAATCTGAAATTTTGGGGCTCATCTTCTCATCCAACAGAATATTACTTACCTTCAAATCTCTATGTATTACCTTCAAACAGGAATCATGATGGAGATAAAGAAGTCCTCTAGCAACACCTTGAATAATATTGAAGCGTTTAGCCCAATCAAGCTCTGCTCTTCTCATTGGACCTAATCAATTCACCCATTTGAAATGAAATCAGTAGCGTCATTCATATATTTGGTGCATATAGTACAATGAAAACAATGATTTAATTGCTATAAAATAGAGACACAGTTGTAAGAACACTAGTAAGCGGGGCTTAAACAGGTAGGTGTGATATATTGAAGAGCTAAACTGTACTCAAAGATTGTGCATATCAGTTAATAGTTCCCCTAAGCTCGGCATTCTAGGAAAAGCTCATAGATTCCCAGTGATATTGAAGAAAGATAGGTAACAATGAGAAATTGCAGCCAAACATAAAGTGCCAGTGAAACTTACTGAACAAAAGAGTATCCAAGCTTTTGTTTGGCATGAACTCATAAATTAGTAGCTTCTCATCATCTTTAATGCAGCAACCCATGAGCCTTACAAGATTCTTATGTTGGAGTTTGGAGATCAACCGCATCTCATTCTTGAACTCTTCTATACCTTGTACTGAGCTACTAGATAGTCTTTTTACTGCTATTTCCTTCCCTTCTTGTAGCTTACCCTACACAAGGTCCACAAATTAATCATTGCATTCATGTCTGTATCATTATATATATTCCTTCGAAAAGAAAAAAAAGAAAGAATAATCACCCTATATACAGGCCCGAATCCTCCTTCTCCGAGTTTGTTTGTGATGCTGAAATCGCTCGTAGCAATTGATATGCTATCAAAATCATAGATTACTAGCTCTGATGGATCATGTTTTCTTATATATTCATGAAGAAGAGCGTCTCTTGAAGTCTCAATCGTATCAGCCATTTCAGAGTCCTTAGGTGTTACCTTGACGTTTCCTGATTTGCAAATATAGCAACCAAACTCGAAGTCAGAGAAAAACAAAGAAGCAGTAAATATGCTCTTATAATGTAATGCATTGAAGTTATACTGTTTTGATTAATACTTCAAACAGTGGAAGGGTGAGATCATGGGCTAATGCATTAATTGCATCGCTCGACCTCATTCTCTTACTCTTTTGGTTAGATCGCAATCTGTGCAAGCTAAACACTATGCCAGCCAAGATACTGATAAAACAAACAGCTATGAGGCTGACCATTAACTTTATTTGCTTTCGTTCACCTGGAAAAATGAATTTGTGTCGCATAAAGTAGGTGACAGAGAAAAGAAAAGATACTGCTAATTACAGTTGTGCAAGCAATACTATCACTTACCTAATTCTGCATGTGCTAGGCGAACAAAAAGATCATTTCCCCCAGAGGCAAACTCTTGAATATCAATAAGGTCTTTGGACCAGACCAAACACCCTATATTGTTAATATGTGTATAAGCCAGGCAAGAACAATTACCTATGCACTTTACCTTGCATTCTTCAGCACCCAAATTCGAAATATCTTCAGCACTGTACCTCGAAATATACTCATGAAAATCTGGTAGGTTTACACTTGACATCTTCAAAAACCCATCTTGTTTTCCTCTTGAAGGAACTGACTGACTTGTGTTACTCCGACAAAACAATTTGGTTTTCCTCACACACCCCCTTGCCCTGTTTCCTTTGCTCCATTCCTCTTGTGACTTGGGTTTAAACCCTTTCAAACACTTGCAGATTGGAGACTCGGAAGCTTTGCAAACCCCAAAAGGTCCACATATTCCATAATGGTCGCATGGATTCTTTTGGGCCTCCCAGTCAAGATTCCAGTTCTCACCATGTTCGGAATACATAAGCTTTAGTGTACCTTTATAAGAGATTTCCATATATGCCAGAATTCTGTTAAAGAAAAAAGAGAAATACTTTGTTCCCTGCTGCACATTATCATCTAGATTTAATCCACTTAGATATTCATCATTCATTCCTGGTATGCCAAGGAACGTTGCTTTGTCCCATAGCCCACTTCTCCAGTAGGGAGTTGATCCATTAATCCGAATGACCATTTGTGTTGGGATCTGTGGTGCCAATCCAACCGAGAACAACCCGGTTGATGCATCACTCTCACTTTTCCAGGCAGTCAATACATCCCTCTTTCCAAATTTGTTATCGAATCCCAGCAACATCATTGGCAGAAGTGTGTCACCAGGATAATCAAAGCTCCTCCATAATTGAGCTCCTATATCATCTTGGACAACAAAGTTTCCACTGTCGAAAAGAAGTGCAGCTGAACCATTAGATGGCACTGAAATATTGGTTGACCAAATAGAACTCTGTTTCCCATCTACAAGCTCCAGGTTCCCATTGCTGTTAATTGTCAAACTAGCCAATGTGTCTGTAACTGAAAGAGCCTTTTCTCTGTTGGCCACCCAAACAACTTTGCGGGGAAATATAGTCTTGTGCCATATCCCCACATACTTGTTCGTGGAATTATTAGGACTAAAGAAGCCCAATTCGAAAATGTGGCCAGGGGAGACGAGGGTTTGTCCCTGTGCTAATGGTTGTGAAGAAGATATGTTATAAACTTCAGCACAATGATGCTGTGACAGAAGCAAGCTGAAGAGGAATAGGATGAACATGGTGGAACTTAAGGCGCTAACAGAAACCCAACAGGGACAATTAAATACTGTGTTGGGCTAAAATTCAGATGCACCCTACGTGAAGCATATTAGTAATCTTCACTATGAGAAAATTGACTTTTCCATTTTTTTATGAAGAAAATTCTACCAATGCTTTTAAAGTCATGCGCAGACAAGTTTGACTATATCACATTGTTCACTATTTGTAGTCCAGGACATATAATAAGACATTATGAGAATGAGGGCCTTTCTCCATTGCGGATTCAATACGGATTTCTATTTTGATCCGTTAGATGACTTGGGCGGTGGAGATTTAACACAACAAACAAGACATAAAAAAATACCAATATCTGACTTTGCACCGCCATTTGAGAAGCAGAGAAACAACAGACCACTCAGCCCATGCTTTCTCTTTCCCATTTCATCTCCTCCATGTTCAATTTTTTCAGCTCTCTTTTTGAGTCAATATATATCAGGGATTCATGGATTCAATAAACAATGACATAAAAGAAAGAAAAAAAACCCATAAATTATTGAAAAAATCAGCTCTAAAAACTCGTCTCAGAAATCATTGTCTAAGAAGCAAACCCCTGTTTCAGACCGAGAAAAAATAAAAACCAAACCCAATTGTGTTAGTAAAAATAAAAACCAGAGAAAAATGAACTCTTTGTTTGTGGAGAAGCTTTTGTTTGCTGTCATCGATTGCACTTCACTTTAGTCTGGTGTGATATATTTTGGTTCTAAATTTATGTTCTTTGAGCTATTGGTATGTAGTAAAGCTTGGGAAAACTCTTCAGGTGGGAAGAGAACTCAGAAAAGCACGGG